ACTGTTATGCCATGTGCTTTCATAGCATAACAGTAAGAGGTTAATAATAATCCCCAATGTTGAACATATGATATGCAGTAATCATGATGGCTGGAAAAGATAACGTTTAAACACCCAGGGCTGATGGCACCTTTACTGGTGCACTGCTTTCTAGTCATTAGATGGCATAACTTTGACCTATAAGATCAAGCTGGAGAAGCATTATGTATAAAAACAGCGTTCAAATAGGATGAAACACATTAAATTTGACAAATCAAGAGTTCGTTGTCATTTTGCTTTTGCAAGCACTTTAACAATGTTGTAATAGTGTCCACGACGGCTACGTTTAGCAGGTGGTGCATTATCCTTGTTAACATTTCTCCTGCGGCCAATTCGCTGTCTCACATTTTTGTCTTTCGCCGATTCTGATAATCAGCCTGCGTGCATTCAGACTCATTTTGCCAGCATGGGCCACAAACCAAAAAACCAATAACAACAGCAGCTGCTATATGTTACTGCTCAGCAGCTTAAATGAGTTTTGCATTTACGGAGGTTGGGTCTTTATCTGTGTCTATGAGTGAGTGTACGTCTACCTGGGGGGGGGTCTGGATGAATTAACGGGTAAAAACTAGCGTTAGTAAAAAAGTTAAACTTACGGTGGTTTGTCCTTTGCAGAAGCTGCTCCTGGATGCCGTCGTTTGAGGTGCTGGTGCATAGCCGTCGTGCTTTTATGATAGGCCATTTCCACCTCACAAAGCCGGCAAACGACTGAATCACTTCCTTTTCTGTTAAAATATCCCCATACTGTAGAACTGCGTGTTCGGGTGGAGTGATTTAAGTTGACTGCAAATGCCTCACTCATGATTCCACTACTCGCTGCCGCCATGTCTTTTTTTGAAAGTGACGACGCATCGACGCAGATTCTTTTACGTCGACGTATTTTTTTTTTTGTTCCAGCCCTACTGAGAAGAGCTCTGTGCTGTTCGAGTCTGAGGTGGCGCCGCTTTGTGCCAGAACTTACATTGTGCAGTTTTCCGTGTCAGACGTTTCATAACCAAACCGTGTCCGTGCAACAGAGGCGGCCCTCGTTTAGGAATAAGGTCCTGGATTTGTGTGGACTGGTCCGTCTGTTTGCAGCTACCTGGTTCTGCCTCGTCTAAACTGGTCGTGCTGGGATTCTCTGTCCCCGCATCCATAAACAGTGGATTTTGCGTCACCGTGAAACAAACTATAGTGTATTATATGAAAGATGTTTTCATTTCGTCATATCGCACAGCCCTGCTCAGATCAGGTGTTGTTTGGTTCATATCGGCCCAGCCAAGGCGTGCGGGCTACCGGAGTCCGCTTCGTGTCCTGAACCCGCCCCTTTTCTCTCCAGGAGCGCGTGCAGAAGAGTTTTCCTCACCCGATCGATAAGTGGGCACTCAGTGATGCTCAGAGTGCCATTGAGAAGAGGAGGAGGAGGAACCCGCTGGCGCTGCCTGTTGATAAGATCCATCCCCTGCTCAAGGTACATTTCTTCATCATATGGCTTACGCACATTTCCCATGGTGCCTTGAGTGTGTTCACCACGGTGCTGTGCTTTAGGAGGTGCTGGGCTATAAGATCGACCACCAGGTGTCCGTGTACATGGTCGCCGTCCTGGAGTACATCTCTGCGGACATCCTGAAGCTGGCAGGAAATTACGTGAGGAACATTCGACACTATGAGATCTCCCAGCAGGATATCACCGTGGCCATGTGTGCCGACAAGGTCGCACACGCACACGCACACAGCAAAATACAACACAGTCCAGTGAAAGCTCCACACCGTGCAGCCGCTCAGTCCGTCTCATGGTTTGGAGGAACCTTTAAACTCTGCGTGTCTCACCTGTAGGTCTGTGTGTCGCTGTGCAGGTGTTGATGAACATGTTTCACCAGGACGAGGAGGACATCAGCGGCTTCCCGCTAATGGATGAGGAGCCGTCAGCCAATGAGGAGCAGAGTTACTACGAGCTGGTGAAGAGCTTCATGGCGGACTGTCGGCAGTACCTGAGGCAGCTCAACCTGATCATCAGGGTGTTCAGGGAGCCCTTCAACTCCAACTCCATGCTCTTCTCCCAGCACGTATGTCCACCGGTGACATCACTAACTGGTCTGGTGATTGGTGATTCTGTTGTGAGTGACGACGACGTGTTTGATCCGTGACATTCTCAGGTTGGTGTAATTGATGAGTCTCTGATCGATTGCAGGATGTGGAGAGCATCTTCAGTCGGATCCTGGATATCCACGAGGTGACGGTGAAGCTGCTCGGTCTGATCGAGGACACGGTGGAAATGACCGGCGAGGGAAGTCCTCATCCTCTGGTGGGGAGCTGCTTCGAGGACCTGGCTGAGGTCTGTACGCCTGCGGATTGATCTGTTGATCGATCGGTTGTCTGCTTGAGAATGACGTGAGCTTTGATTGGCAGGAGTTGGCTTTCGACCCCTATGAGACGTACGCTCAGGACATGCTGCGCTCTGGCTTCCATGAACACTTCCTCAGTCAGGTGTCCAAACCTGGAGCTTCCTTCCACCTGCAGGTGAGGCCAGTACTCTGATTACAATGGTTCTGTCAGAGAAGGTGAAAGCAGACTTTTCTGACCTTTGACTTCTGGGATCAGTTAAATAAAAAAATACAGCCTGTAGTGTTTCCTGCACATTCGTTGGCTAACGACTTGTCAATCACAAGTCGTTAGCCAATGAGCGCGCTTTCACAGGCGGAGCCACCTTTCCTCTGATGTCATAAGACAAACAGACGAGCGGGTGCAACATCAGCTGATTATCATGTGAGACGAACCTCTGCTCAGGTGTGCAGCGTGTTGATAGAGATCGGCGTGTGCGGCGGGTCACGTGACCGCTGATGATGAAGCGTCTGTCTGTGTGTCTGTCTGCAGTCCATCTGCGAGGGCTTTAAAGAGGCCGTTCAGTACGTTCTGCCCAGGCTGCTGCTCACACCTGTTTACCACTGCCTGCACCTGTTCGAGATCCTCAAGGTGAGTCTCCTGACAGAGACGTTTGTACATGTGTGTTAAATCCCGCTGCGCTTCCACCCGCAGAGATCAACAGAGGCGATGCCGAACACACAAGTGCACCTGTAACTCACCTGCCTTAAACATGCACTATACCTGTATCAAACCTGGTCATAGCACCGCTTTATGATGTGGCGGTATCCTGCCACAGAGCATTCCCTGCAGGCCGGCAGTGGCTGAGCACATGAAACTGGTCCCAGGTGAACCCAGTCAGGTGCGGTGATGGCACGCACCAGTCTCCCGTGGAGCCGGTCCAGGTCTGGGACTTTCCACTGCGGCCGTAAGAGGCTTTGCCCCTCTGAGGGCAAATCTCTGAAATACCTCCAGTCATGTAGTGCAGATTATTTCACAGCTGAGGGCTCACGGGGGGCAGAGGGAGTCCTGGACTCTGATTGGACAGCACAGGTTTTGTTCTTAGTTCTCTGTCTGATGGAGGTAGTTAGCCCCTTCCCTCTCTGTTTCCACAGCAACTGGAGGAGAAGAGTCAGGATGACGAGGATAAAGAGTGTCTGAAACAGGCCATCACGGCTCTGCTCAACCTGCAGAGCAGCATGGAGAGGATCTGCTCCAGGAGCCTGGCCAAGAGGAGGCTCAGGTACGCACACCTGCACGCACACAGACACACACGTGCGCGATGGACGGGCAGAGGGCATGAGTAGAAATGATAATAAGAACCTCATGACCAACAGCAGGTTATTGATCTTTACCTGTTCATCAATAACTAATAATCAGTGTCAGGCGTGTAGACCACACGAGGACTGCTCCTTCACCTGTTCATGGCAAAGAGTCAGCCTTCACACCTGAGTGTGAGATCCCCGAGCGGAGCCAGGACAGAATCAGAACCGGCCGAGTTCAGCTGTAACTGCCGGGCAGCAGCTCGCACTCTGCACAAACACTGTGGGTGGGACTCCGCCCATCCTCTGCGTTTCCCTTTGGACCAAAATAGAGCAGGATGGGGAGGGGAGGGTTCGTTAGGGTCGCCGGTGGGGGGGTGGCAGTGTTTGGAGGAAGTGGCGTAAGCGCGAGGGCAGCTTATTGTTCTCTGTTAGAAAGAAAAGAGCTCAGAGAGAGAGAGGGGAAAGCTGCTGCTGCCGCCCGCTCAGTAAAGTTTCTCCTTTATTACACGACAAACGAGCAGGCGGAGGGCCCGCGGTCGATGACTGGCAGGCGGACATGAGGACGTAGGTGACCTCTCTTTGTTCTCTCGTGTTTTCCTGTAGGCGTGATGGTGGTAGACAAAGAGCGGTGGAGGTAAACTGGAGAAAAGCGGCTTAGATACGACCTGTTAGTGTTTTTGTTTGTAGCAGTCGATGCTAAGGAGCCAACAGCTAACGAGGGGATTGGCTGCTTTTAAGTTTGAGACGTGGAGCGTTCAGCATCAGGCTCAGAAGAAATGATGATACGAGAAATGTAATGGAGGTGTGGTTAAACTGATGCCCCGCCCACAAGCAGGGATGCTGCTTTGAACTGCATGCTGCATGCTCCCTCTTCTCCATAGCCTGGCGGAAACGGCGTCAGAATCTCCGTGTCTGATTGGTCAGAGCACAGAAGTTTTTGTTCCACCCTAACTCTGAGGAGGTGGAGGTGTTTCCCTCTGTGGCTGAGCACCACCTGTCTGGCTGATAAACTGACCTGAATACAGCGCAGACCGCCGTCCTCCATCTCTTCACTGACGAGTTACAGAAGAGCTGGAAAAGATTTATATCAGCCTGTGGGGCGGGTGGAGGCGGGTGGAGGGAGACAGAACTGGTGGCGCAGTTGGATTCATTGCTGGTTAGACAAAGATGTGTTTCATAACTCTGAACAACAGATTTTTAAATCCGTCCTGCTGAGACTGAAGTGCAGGTGTCAGGTTTTAGTCATCGACAGTTGAGCACTTGCTGCCATGTTCAGAGCTGACTGGGTGACGTGCTCGGTGCTCAGGTGAGGCGCTCATTACTCCGTGCACTACTTTTGTTAAACTTCTTATTAAAGCTGAAAGTCACAGCTGGATGGATCCTTGCACAAATCATGCAGATAAGGCTGGTAATGAATGACCAAAGGCAGGTGGATGGAGGCAGGTGGATGGTGTGGGGTAGAGATGCATAAAAGCCAATAATGAAGGTCAGTGCCGGCCGATGGGTTCAGAGTTATACTGATGGTCACTGGTGGGGGCAGATAAATATCAGTAGGTAAACGCCTGGTGTTGGAGGCAGGCCCTGGGTGAGGGAAGTAAATGTGGTCGAGGTGCTGCTGCAGCCCGGTGAAGCCCCGCCTCCACATACCTCGGGGGTTTAAGTTATAATGTGATTAGTGAGCAGCTCGCAGGAACAACAGGCTCAGCGAATAAAGCAGCAGTCCGTCCGCTCTCAGGTCGTCCAATCGATCAGACCTGCAGGGCCGTCGATGCGTCTGATCAGCGCTGCTTCCTCACACCTGCAGGGTTCACGTCCTGATGACATCACATTGGTGTTTTTCGCACGTTGATCAGAACCCAGTACTGCCATTGATAATACACGTGCTCATTAATGACGATGTCACTGTGTCTCTGTCACAGCGTGGCGGTTTGTCCCAGCTGAGGTCCGAGTCGGCCTGCTGTGACCTCACTTCCTGTTGTCGCTGCAGCTTTGCTGGTTTGTACAAAGCCTGACCTCCTCAACCAACCCAATGATGAGTGAGCAGCTCTATTAGCAGTGAACTAACTTCCAATAATTTAGCGATCTGTAGCTGATCAAAAATGTTGATCACGTATGTCTGTGTGACGCACAGGAAGAAAGCAGCAGCTGACAGGAAGTGAACCGTGTAACTCTGACCTCAGCTCATAACTTCAAGAGCTGCTATACAGCTGCTGCTTTTATTGTGAAAGTCCCGTGATTTCCTTAAATGTGTTTCTCACTGAAATCACACAGAGACCCGCCCCCTCTGGCTCTCCAGGGCTCGCAAAATTTCAAAATCCTGGTAGTCCTTCGGGCAGGGACTCTTCAGTTTTTGGTAGCCCAAAATACATTTAAGTAGCCCGAATAAAAGAGAGAGCAATTTTTTGATTGATGTTTTGTTTCCGTTACAATATTATACTTTAATGTATAATATTGGAAACAAAACATCAATCAAAAAATTGTTGAAACACAAATTACAACATTGTATAAAAATTACAATCATCAACTCAAACACTTGGTTCTAATTGAACAGGAATTTCTATGAACTTGTAAGAACTGTGTAGGACATGAATCCGTCTGTGTCAGAGCCTGAATCTGAAATTTCCACTGAAGTCACGGGTAAGAGGAACCAAGATCGAGGCCGTTTGCTTTTTGAAGTTTGCAAAGACTGATAAATTGTGCCAGTGGTAGTTCACTCTTTGCAACATAGTAGCTGGTCTAAACTGATTTTTCAGGTTTATATTTAGTCTGTTATTTGCAATTGGTGTTTGTTCTGGGAAAGATATTGCAGACTGAGCAATAATGCATTTCTTGCATTTCTAATAGGGGCCTTTCTTAAAATGACTGGTCCCAGTAACAAAGGCGCTTGTCGACTCAGAAATCGAGAGAAAACCAACAACACACCCGGCAGAACATTATGTTATTTACACGGGTGCACATAAGTGGTCCGCATGTGCGCATTCGCTGTCAAGACGCGCATCAGATAAGAAGTTGCAACGCACGTTTGCGTCCATATAAAGGCTGTTTTTGTCCTAGAGTGGGATTTTCACGGCACATTCAGCACCACATCTCTGTGCGTTCATCATTTGTTTGAAGCCAGCTCACCTCCTGCAAACACTTTTCTGAGAATACGTGCTTCTTTTGTGGTTCGGACTCCTTCTGACATTTCTTTGGAGGTGGAGGAACATCACAGTAACTGCTTAAAGGAGCTTCTTCGACATCTTTAAAAGTTCTAAACAAATGTCTGTCCTCCTCCTGAAAATCTTATGTATGCAAACACGCGTTGCAACTTCTTATCTTGTTTATCTTTTTTATTTTGACAGCGAATGCGCACCTGCGGACCACTTATGTGCAGCCCTGGTTATTTAGCTCGTCATATTGCAGCCACAGAAATTCTTTTGTCCATGAAACCATAAAGCTGCACTTTCTTTTTGCCTTATAGTCTGATTTGTCATAACTTCTCCGTTTTGTGGTAAGCTTTTCTTTGGCTGTCACTTCTTCACCCTGACCTGTCTTATTTGGCTCAGCAGAACTGAAATGCTTTTACACGCTCACTCACATAAGCTCAGCGATTCTCTGCGCGATCAACCTCTCACATGTTTAAGCTGCGGGAGATTTCACTTGTCATGTTTGCATAGTAAGCTAACGATTAATAAGACGATGTCAGAGGAATTGGTGCACAAATTATCATCACTCACAGATCAGTGCTGTCGCTCTCTATACACAGTTCGCACGACTGCAAAGTGAAAGCAAAAAACAAGCGCAAATTCAAACGCGATTTCAGTATGTCACATAGTGACAGTGGCTCATCGATGCCAATGACATAATTACCCAGCTACATTTCTGAAAGAATGCAAAAGCATTGACATATATTTTTCCTTCCTACGATAGGCCGACGGGCAGGGAAGAGATAGATTTTGGTAGTCTGACGTCGGGCTAGTGATTTTGCGAGCCCTGCTCTCTCCATCCTCCTCACTAACTCTTCTTCTTCTTCTACATATTCTTGCTCCTGTGTGGCGGCGTACAGTGAGTCGGCGTGCCGTTTCTACTGCCACCAGATGAAGGGTAAGCACCTCGCCATCAAGAAGATGAACGAGATCCAAAAGAACATCGATGGCTGGGAGGGGAAGGACATTGGCCAGTGCTGCAATGAGTTCATCATGGAGGGTACCTTGACCCGCGTCGGCGCCAAACACGAACGCCACATCTTCCTGTTTGACGGCCTGATGATCTGCTGCAAGTCTAATCATGGCCCGCCGCGGCTGCCTGGTGCCAGTTCTACCGCGGAGTACCGCCTCAAAGAAAAGTTCTTCATGCGCAAAGTTCAGATCAACGACAAAGATGACAAGGAGGGCGAGTACCGCCACGCCTTCGAGATCATCCTGAAAGATGGCAACAGTGTAGTGTTCGCCGCCAAGTCTGCAGAGGAGAAGAACGGCTGGATGGCGGCGCTGATCTCGCTGCAGTACCGCAGCACGCTGGAGCGCATGCTGGACACCGCCATGCTGCAGGAGGAGAAGGAGGAGCAGATGAGACTCCCGGGCGCCGAGGTGTACCGTTTCGCCGAGCCCGACTCCGAGGAGAACGTCGTGTTCGAGGAGAACGTCCAGTCCAAGTCCGGCATTCCCATCATCAAGGCGGGGACTGTCCTGAAGCTGATCGAGAGACTCACCTTCCACATGTACGCAGGTGAGGCGTGATGTCACACAGGTGAGATGTCGTACTGCTGCTGTTTTAGCTTCTTGACCTGTAGCTTGAGTTTCAACGTGGCAGCGAGGTGAGACTTGGGGGCGATGTGGGCGCCGACTGTGCCGGTGTCCTGCGGGTTTTAGACATGTCAGCTGATTTAAACAGCTAAATGACCTCCAAGTTCTCCAGAGGCCTGCTAATGAACTAATCGTGTGATTCAGGTGTGTCGACCCAGGGTGAGATCTAAAAGCTGCAGGGCACCGGCCCTCGAGGCTGATTGATCTGATCCCTCACTGATCAGCTCGTGTTTTTTCCTTCAGATCCAAACTTCGTCCGGACTTTTCTGACCACCTACAGATCATTCTGCAAACCTCGGGAGCTGCTGGACCTGCTCATAGAGAGGTGAGCTTACCTGCCAGGCACAGTGACCAATCAGAACGCCTGCTCTCACACAGCGGTTTCATTAAAACCCCGTCGTCTCGTGTGTTATTGGGTTTATTTATCATTTAAACAAATAGAACCATATATACAGCAGACTGGCTCATATTTACACCTCAGCTTGTCTCTGGTTGCCTAGCAACACATATTGTTTACACGCAATTTCATATGAGTCTGGAGAACCAATCGGAGGACATTGAAGGAGCTCGGACAGAAAAGCAGCTGGACTTGTTTAAGTTCCTTGAAGACGTTTCATCCCAGAAGCGTCTTCAGTTCTGAGACCAGATGGTGGAGTCCCAGATTTAAGCCCTATGGGAGCGTCCCCCAAGCGGGTCCTAGACCCCCTATTGATCATCTGCCTGATCAGCATCTATGTCCACTGTGTACGACCATCTTTGAACAGAGGGCGGGGCTTACCACACCAACTGTCTGCCATCTATAATCCAGTCTGAGATCCTTCCCAGATGCCTTAACACCCACTCACTTCCTGGGCCATCTGACCTCAGTAAGTCACATGATAGGGTGGGGCTAGGTTTCACAGCGGGTTCACCTGATACCACATCACAGGGGTTAGGGGTCTACGATGACCTGGATCCTCGTGTGATTAGGGGAGGTTCAATAGGGGGTCCAGGACCCTCTGGGGAGACACTCCCAGAGGGCTTAAATCTGGGACTCCACCTTCTGAAACATCTTCAAGGAATTTAAAGAAGTCCAGATGACATTATCCTTGGGATGCAAGAATATACACCTAAGTGTGTTCCTGCAGTCACAATAACTTACCGTATTGTAACGAGTTGTAGATATTTACTTTGTGCCATAATTATTCTGTAAGAGCTTTTGTTTTTAAAATGTAATAATTAAATTAAATCTTAAAAAAACCCCCAAAGAAGTCCAGGTGCTTTTCTTTCTGAGCTGCCTAGACGACGACGACCTGGACGACTGCGAACCTTCACAGACAATCGGAGCAAATAAAGTGTGAGGAGCAGGGCGGAGGAGGAGGAGGAGCAGAGGTCTTCTGTTAATGGTTCCATTTTGGGAATGGAAACCATCTTTCAATGGGCTGAAATTTGACGATATTCCTGCCCCCTTGTGGACTGTGGGGAGGTCGCAGCAGAAGCACACCTGTGGATCTCAACAGGTGTGCTTCTGCTGTCAGCTCTGTGATGTTGATGTTTTCAGGTTTGAGATCCCGGAGCCAAAGCCGGCGGACGCCAATCAGACGGAGGGAGGAGAACAGCCACCCAGCGCTGAACTCAAACGCTTCCGGAAAGAGTTTGTCCAACCTGTTCAGCTCAGGTAGGAAGCGCTCCTGCTACAAGAGACACCTGCTCACACCCGTTCTCTGAGTTTCGTTTACACTCTGCTCGAGTTTGGAATAAATCGAAAACGATGCGACTTTAATTTAGTAATGTCGTCGTCCTCCTCGTCCTACTGCAGAGTGTTGAATGTTTGTCGCCACTGGGTCGAACATCACTTCTATGATTTTGAGAGAGACCCTCTCCTTCTGAGCGAGATGGAGGACTTCATTGCTTCAGTCAAAGGTACGTACAGGTGTTCAGAAAGGTGCAGCACAGACGATAATGCTTTTTCAAAATTCCGAGTTTTAAAAAGGTCAGCTATTCTTTTCTTACAAGATAAAACTGAATATGAAAACATAAGAGCTTGTAGTCAGTGCAAATGTGTAACAGCTGGAGCAAGGAAATGATGTCATATGTCGCAGGTAAGGCGATGAAGAAGTGGGTGGAGTCAATCACCAAGATCATCCAGAGGAAGAAGCAGGTCCAGGTGAGCGTGCCGAGTCATAGCATCACCTTCCAGAATTCCCCTCCTCCCATCGAATGGCACATCTGCAAACCCGGAGACACTGAGCACTTCGACCTTATGACCCTGCACCCCATTGAAATCGCCCGCCAGCTCACCCTGCTCGAGTCCGACTTTTACAGGTAACATTCCGCCCTGCACCTGTCTTGCACCAGCCTGGCACCTGTCCCACTGTTACCTAACCACCGACCACCACCTGCAGGGCGGTGCAACCGTCTGAGCTGGTCGGTAGCGTCTGGACCAAAGAGGACAAAGAGATCCACTCGCCCAACCTGTTACGGATGATCCGACACACCACCAACCTCACCCTGTGGTTTGAAAAGTAAGCCTTACTTTGGCATGGGCGGGGTCTAGTGTGCGGTAACTAAACTCCACAAGTACGTCAGGCTGATGTCAGCTGTACTTCCTCTGCAGGTGTATCGTAGAGACGGAGAACCTGGAGGAACGCGTCGCTGTCTTTTCCCGGATCATCGAAATCCTGCAGGTGTTTCAGGAGCTCAACAATTTCAATGGCGTCCTAGAGGTCGTCAGCGCCATGAACTCTGCACCCGTGTACAGACTGGATCACACCTTTGAGGTAATAATGACCACGAACGTCACTGACATCAGAAGGATCTGAGTTTAATCTGCTGACAGAGAATGTGAGCGTCATCGTGTGTTTGAAGAAGAAGAAATGTCGGTTTATGGTTGCAGCAAATTCCGAGTCGTCAGAGAAAAATCCTGGAGGACGCTCATGAGCTCAGCGAGGACCACTACAAGAAGTACCTGGCTAAACTGCGCTCCATCAACCCCCCCTGCGTCCCCTTCTTTGGTATGATTTCCCTCGGGATTAGTAGTATTATCAGTCAATCAATTTATCAATGACTCAATTCTCACCGATCTCTAATGGATAACTATGCAGCTCGAAGGTCAAATAACTGTATGTGTGTGTGTGACAGGAATCTACCTGACCAACATCCTGAAAACGGAGGAGGGAAACCCCGACTTCCTGCACAGACACGGCAAAGATCTGATCAACTTCAGCAAGAGACGGAAAGTGGCCGAGATCACCGGAGAGATCCAGCAGTACCAGAACCAGCCGTACTGTCTGCGGGTGGAGGGTGACATCAGAGTGAGGACACACCCCCTCACCTTCTGTTCACACACGCACGCACGCACGCACGCACGCACACACACACACACACACACACACTTTGGCAACAGTGGGAAGGAAAAACTCCCTTTTAACAGGAAGAAACCTCCAGCAGAACCAGGCTCAGGGAGGGGCGGGGCCATCTGCTGTGATTGGTTGGGGTGAGAGAAGGAAGACAGGATAAAGACATGCTGTGGAAGAGAGACTAAGGTTAATAACAGATGTGATTCAGTGCAGAGAGGTCTGTTAACACATAGTGAGTGAAGAAGAAACACCCAGTGCATCATGGGAATCCCCGGCAGCCTACGTTTATTGCAGCATAACTAAGGGAGGATTCAGGGTCACCTGGTCCAGCCCTAACTATATGCTTTAGCAAAAAGGAAAGTTTGAATCTTGAAAGTAGAGATAGTGTCTGTCTCCTGAATCCAAACTGGAAGCTGGTTCCACAGAAGAGGGGCCTGAAAACTGAAGGCTCTCCCTCCCATTCTACTTTTAAATACTCTATGAACAACAAGTAGGCCTGCAGAGCGAGAGCGAAGTGCTCTAATAGGGTGATATGGTACTACAAGGTCATTAAGATAAGATGGGGCCTGATTATTTAAGACCTTGTATGTGAGAATTCTGGATTTAACAGGAAGCCAATGAAGTGTGGTTGGAGCAGCGGTTGGAGCAGCGGTTGGAGCGTGGTCTTTTGTTGTTGACGTGCATTTGTTTTGTCTTTGTGGAGCAGAAGTTCTTCGAGAACCTGAACCCAATGGGCGACCTGTCGGAGAAGGACTTCAGTGATTATCTCTTCCACAAGTCTCTGGAGATCGAACCTCGCCAGCTCCGATCGGCTCCTCGATTTGTAAGTATGAGCGTGGCGGCACCTTGTCATGTTACGTGTTGCATTGCGTGTGACGTGCATGACACTAATCAACTCACCTGCTGCAGGCGAAGAAGTACACCTATCCTCTGAAGTCTCCGGGGATCCGACCCACTTCGGCCCGACCCGGCACCATGAGACATCCGACGCCGCTCCAGAACGAGCCCAGGAAGATCAGCTACAGCCGCATCCCGGACAGCGAGTCCGAGGGGACGCCGGCCTCTGCCCCCAACTCTCCCCGTACCCCCCTGACCCCGCCCCCTGCCTCCGCCGCCTCCGCCGCCTCCAGCTCCACAGATGTGGGCAGCGTGTTTGACTCGCCGCAAGGACCCAGCAGCCCATTCCACTCCAGTAAGACCCGCCCACTCACACTGACACTGAGCCTGCCCACTGATATTATTGAACGCATTGAATGTGACCACCCAACCCTATTGGCTGTCTTTGGGTTGGAACTGTGGCTTCCTGTTTGCTGTCCACCTGTGAGGGCCTAACAGGTCACGGCAGCAGCAGGACCAATCAGACACAAAGTAAGCCTCTTAGTCTGAACGAGGCGGCGACAACCTGCGCTCCGCCCTCGTGCTGCGCTTCAGGACGTTCTTCGCGCGTCTCCTTACGCTCGCCTCTACCATCGCGCCTCCTTTCCTCGCGCTCTCCTCTACCATCGCGCCTCCTTTCCTCGCGCTCTCCTCTACCATCGCGCCTCCTTTCCT